TATAGTGAGTGTTCCCTACAGTAGTTCTGTGGAGAAAGTGACCAGCTGGCTTCCATTTTGTGTGGCAGATTTCCCTCAAAAGTGCACTGAAAACCTTTTTATTTTGCAGAAGCTGAATTCCAGTTTCTGTGTTTCTCTTGTATAAATAAAGAAAAAAAAGTAATAATGAAAGCAGGATGGGAGAGACATTTAAGCCTTCACTATTGTTCTAGTAACAACTGGAGATCTTATATAACTTGTTGAATTAATTTTGAAAAGCTTGCCTATTCAATTTTTCCATTTCTATGCAGCCAACAAAACCCTGACCTACCTTTTGCCTACATTATTCTTTCTATAGATTTTGACAGGGATGGGGAACCTTCTTTGTGTTGGGGGCCACTGACCCAGAAAAAAATCAGTTGAGTGCCACAAAGATCCCTCACTGACATGGCCCCCGAAGCTCCTAAAAAATTAATATAACAAGCTGTATAAGTTCTCCAACTGTTACTAGAACAAGTATGAAGACAAATGAAAAAAAGAAGGTTTTCAGTGCACTTTAAAGGGAAATGTGCAACACAAAATGGAAGCCAACTGGTTACTTTCTAAAATGCAAGGAATTTGGTATTGTATCATTATGGAAAATCCTATAGAATTTAATAAAATATAATCTTGCAGAGTTCTTTGTATCATCCTATAGAATTTAACAGGGTATTGGAGATCTTATACAGGGCATTGGATCCCTTTCATAGAATATTATAGGATGAGCCTAAAAATGTATAAAAAGGATATACACTTGAACCTCTTTAATCTGGCAATCAGGGTATGCTGGATTAAAGATTTTATCAGGCCAAGGAGGGCATGCGGGGTCTGGACATGAGAGGGAAGGGGTTGGGGGTACACATGGTTCTGTGCCCTGTGCCGTTCCCAGGCACTGTCTCCCACTGCTATGGGAGAGTCAGGGAAAAGCCGCAAGGGAAAGCCCCTTGCTGACCTGCCATTCCCCCAGCTTTAGAGAGGGGGAGCAGCAGTGCACAGAGCCGCTTCCTTGTCTGTACCATGAGTGTTCCCAGATCAGGGACAACCAGAATATGTAGGTTCAAATTTAATTATTAAGTGCTACAATTTAAAAAGTAATCTTTTTAATACCCTATTGATTTCATCCCTATTAATTTCTGTAGGGCTTTTCTGTGTGGGGTAAACATTTATCAGACCTGGTTACAGGTTTAAAGTATGGCACTAAATTGAATTAAATCAAATGTTAGCTATAGATATGATACATTTTCTATACTGAAATGGATGATGCATCCTTTAATTTCTATTGAACAAGTGTTTTCTTTTCTACAGTAATTGTAACGTGCTGTCTTCTTGTACTCAGATTTGCATTCTCCCATTTGACATTTATGAGCTTTGAGAATTTGTCAGGCTTTGTACCAATTTTGGATGGTTCCAAATGTTGAAACATTAATGAGCTCATTTCCATATTTAAAACTGATTAAAAACCTTAGAACATAATGCTTACAGGAAATCCTGGTAGACCGGGCCTGCCGTCTGGTCCCTGCAAAATGCAAAACATGTGAGTACCTATTATAGACTTGTAAAATGGATTGTGCAGTTTCCATGTATCCACTAGTTTGTGAACATTAATTATTTTAAAACTGTATTCACATGAAAAATACTTTGTTAAGGTAGGTATTAAGGCTGCAGACATGCAGCACTGCCCTGTGCTCTTTCCAGAACATTAGAGTTTAATCCTCAAATATTGGAAAACCCAAGAAATGCAGAGTTTAGGTGACATTTCTCTCATCGCACAGCCATATAATCTCTCAATGCTGCCCATTTATTTCTATCCTGAAGACATCATGGTACTTTAACTTCTTCTTCCGTCACTGCCAGCCAGTAGGCAATAGTTCATGGACCTGTGGAGTTGGACAGAGCACAAACGGGGATCCATTGCATAGTGAATAGATGACCTGACTTGATTTGTGCCGGTACTGAGAATATGACATATTTGTTGAGGGAAGTAAGGAACTGTTATCATCTCAGTTCCTCTTACCATCCCCAGGGAACCACGTTCAAGGCTGGATGGCTGTGCTGTGTGTGAAGAGTCACTGTATTATCGTCTTAGTCATACTGAGCTTGGCAGTCTACTTCCTCCATTGGCTCTTCTTCCATTTTAAGGAAAGATCAAAGCCTGGCTCTTCGCTACAGATAGAGATTCTTGGGTGGTAAGTCCAATGTACTCCAGCTCTCTGTACCCCTGGCAATGAGGCTACAGGCCCCACCTAGGATGACTAGATGTCTCGATATTATAGGGACAGTCTCAATAGTCAGAGCTTTTTCTTATATAGGTGCCTATCACTCTCCATCCCCATCTGATATTTCTCACTTGTTATTTGATCACCCTATGCCCAGGATACCTCCTCGAGACCTGTAATTAAAATATAGTATGATATGTTATATACTAGGGATGTTAGATAGCGTGTAATTTAATAGTCATGTAACCACATTCAATTTTGTTGGTTAGACGACTATTCAACAGTCCCCAGAAGTGGGACCAGCAGCCAGTAGGCTCCCAGCCCCACTCCTGGGCAGCCTTCTGTCACTTTGCACTGCTGCCTCTGTATCAGAAGCAGCAACGGGGGGTGGCAGGCGGAAGCTGGTCCACGAGGGGAGACTATTTAAAAACCAGCTTCCTACACAGATCAGCTCTGGCCTGCCACCCTGCGCTGCTGCTTCTGATATAGTGGCAGCAACATGGGGTAGCAGCAGCCCTTGTCCGCAAGGAGCTTGGATTCTCTTCCCCCCATCCCCGGCTCACTGCAGATAGAGCAGCCTCCCCTGTCCCCCAATTCCCCGTGCTGCTGCCTCTGATAGAGGCAGCAGTGCTGGGGAGGGAGAGGCAGGTGGCACCACAGAGCTGGTACGGGAGGGAACCAGCTTTTAAGCTGGCTCCCCAAAGCACTGGCTTCTGTCTGCCGCTTCCCCCCATTCCCTCTGTAGGAGACAGTAAGGAGGGGGCAGGCAGGTCCCCAGAGCTGGCATGCGCAGAGAGCCTGCACAAAAGCTGGCTCCCTGTGCTTATTAGCTCCCACCTGCCCACCTTACCCTCTACACTCTGCCTCTCTATCAGAGGCAGCAGTGCAGGGGTGGGGAGGCACCAGCTTCCGCCTCCCCTTTGCTGTCTCTGAGACAGAGGCAGCAAAGCAGGGTGGTGGGGGGAGGAATGCATGTAGTCAACAGGATTAGCCACTAACCTTAGGCATATCAGTTAATCATGTATTCTACACCTTGACATCCCTATTATATATAATACCTAGAGGCTGTGTGGAAAAACTTGCTTTTGCGGAAAAACTTGCCAGCTGTCTACACTGGCCGCTTGAATTTCCGCAAGAACACTGACTTCCTACTGTCTGAAATCAGTGCTTCTTGTGGAAATACTATGCTGCTCTTGTTTGGGCAAAAGTCCTTTTGCGGAAAGCTTTTGCACAAAAGGGCCAGTGTAGACAGCTCAGATTTGTTTTGCGCAAAAAAGCCCCGATCGCGAAAATGGCGATTGGGGCTTTTTTGTGGAAAAGCGCGTCTAGATTGGCATGGACGCTTTTCCGCAAAAAGTGCTTTTGCGGAAAAGCGTCTGTGCCGATCTAGACGCTCTTTTCCGAAAATGCTTTTAATGGAAAACTTTTCCATTAAAAGCATTTGCTGAAAATCATGCCAGTCTAGACGTAGCCAGAGTGTATGTTTCCTGCACAATATGGAAGATGAAAGCTACACAGCAGTTAGCATCTACTGTTGTGAGAAATGCTGGCCAGCACAAAGTGCTACTGTCAAGATTAGAGGGGGGCCATTGGATAAGGCAAGCAGAAAAAGGCTAGGAAAACACATATGGCAGGTTGCAAAGAAAAGGCTAATGAAGTCTGAAGCAGAACTTTCCAGAATTTCAGAAAGGATTCAGCCTTCGTCTGCCTTAGGTGTTCACAGAAGTTTGCCCTTTGACTTCAATCAGAAAAAATCAGCTATGTTCAAAACAAGAATTACACATTTACTTGGGTAACAGGAGGTATGAATACTATAGTGAGAAGGTGAGGCCTCCCCTCAGCCACAGATGCTGGGGACACGCCCCAAGCCATCTGGTGGGTGGAGGCAGGAGGGCCTTGCCCCGCCGGCCAGAAGCAGAGGGGCAGGACAGGAAGAGAAAGCATAAAAGGCCAGCTTTGCTGTTCAGCTGAGGAGCAATAGTCAGAGGCAAGAGACACTTCTGCACCAGGGGTGGAGGCAAGCACCAGGGAGAGCCACTGTTGCCCCAGGGATCAGCATTGATGCTGGGGGGCTGCTGCTGCTGCCCTTGGTGGTATACCCAGAGGTGCTGGAAGACTACTTTTGGGTCCAGGTACACCAGAGGGGTTGTGGTGAAAGTAACCCAGGGGAGCCAGGCAGTAGTCTGGTAGCTGGTGCGCCCGAGTCTGGGTCAGCGTGCTGTGGGTGGCTCCCCGCTGACCCACTTGTAGACAGCCCTACCACTGATAGGACCCTGGGTTGGAACACAGTGGAGGTGGGTAGACCCCACCCTGGAGGTGGCAATACACCCCTCTACAGGCCAGGAGGACAGTTCGGCATCGCATGACCCCTACCTGGCCTAGTAGACTGTGAAGTTATTCATCCCTGTCCTGCTGGGAGGCCAGGAACCCAGGCGGTTACTGAACTGGCTCTGTGTGACTGTGAGAGTAGAGCCCGGATTGCTAACTACCTCACCCCACCAGGAGGCCAAGGAACCTTGATTATTATTGAAACAGGTTATGTCTGATTGAAAGACTAGAGCCTTGGGTGCAAGTCACCCCACCCCACAAGCTTGGGGGGTAGAGAAATGGACTCTTATTGACCATTGTCCTGTCTGGCTGCGGGACCAGGGTCTGCATAACTGATTGCCCATCCCTACCTGGAGCCCAGGGAGCCAGATCCTGGTTGTTCCACCCTTGGGGGACTGATTCCTCTGCCCTGCTGGGAAGGCAAGGGACAAACCCCAACCCTAGCATAGGTTACAGGTTGAACCTCCCTGATCTGGCACCCTCCTGGGCCCAAACCAGGGAGTTTACTGGACCAGGGAAGGTCAAGGCTCTACTACCAGCTGTGAGCTCTACTTCTGGGCACCAGCCCCAGCAATGAGACTGCGTTCTCCACTACCAGCCTGGCTAGGGTTGCACTCCTGGCCCTGGCCAGCCAGAGATCTCTAGTCCAGCAATATCCATGGTCCAGCTGGACCAGAGAGTCCCAGATTTCAGAGGTTTAACCTGTACTAATTCCCCTACTGTAAGACAGATCCAGGAACACTGCAGTGAGTAGGGGTGCCCCCCCAGCCACAAATGTCAAGGCATAGCTACTAGTCTTACAGGACACTCAGTGAAAATAATACAAAGTAAACTTAAATTCAGGTCAGATAAATTGTTATAACAGAATACTCTGAGCACAAGCTTTTCCTCTGTGTTCTCCCTCCCTCTTTTTAGCTTCCCCTCCGCTGCACTGCCTAGCAAAAGAAAAATACAGTAAAATGCAGGAAAATAGTATAATTTCTGTAAAAATACTTGTTACTAAAGTAGAAGAATAAATAAGAAAATTTTTCATCCAACTGATGAGTTTAATTTTTCCAGAGTTATATATTTTATATTAGCCCTCCAGAACTCAGCTGTCCAAAAGCCACGGTATGCCAACCCTGGATTCTACCTTATCTTTTAGTATTGCAAATCTGCATGCAGAGGCTCAGGGCTGTGAGCAAAAAAAATCATGTAATTTAAAATAAGCTAGTTTTCTAGGAGGGACAGTATTAGAAATCTCATGTTTTTAGCAATTACTTCTGAAATATTTATCCCTGTCATGCACAGTATTATGCACAGAATGCAGCTACCCCCTTTCTCTATCAGCTCTCGGTCAGCTTTCAACACCAATTTAAGGTCTTGGTTCTAATTTTCAAAGCAATTATAGTATCAAGCCCAACTACATTGAAGTCTCAAGTGTAATCTATGAAGCACTGCGACAACTGCCCTCCTCTGAAGCAATTCAATCTCAGAACCCAGGACAGAGCATTGTCAGTGAAGGGATCCAGCTATGACAGAAACTTCTGGAGATTAGGTGAATCTAGCTTCTGAGTGGTTGTAGGAAATAGCGCAAAATCTTCCTTATGGAAAAAAAGTCTTTCCACCACAAAAATGACAACTTCTTCTAACCCAGGAGTGGGCAATAATTTGTGATGAAGGACCACCCCAAGAATTGTGTAGGTGGTCAAGGGCTGCACTTTTTCTGTGATATTAATGCAGGGGGTGCCAGGTCTGGGATGGAGCTTGGGTGCAGAAAGGATCTCATGTGGGGAATTGGAGTACAGGACAGGGTGTAGGGCCTGGGAGGTGGTTTGGGTGCAGGAGTGGATTCTGGCCCAGGGGAAGGATATAGAAAGAGGTGCAGGGTCTGAGAGAATTGTGCTGGAGACAGGGGCAGCATGCGAAGATTCCTCCCCTATGAAAGACACAAGCTTGCCCCAGAAGCCGGCTGCTTTGAGCGGCATGTGTGGGGGTGCAACAAACAGGGAGCCTGCCTGAAGATCCTGCTGGGCTGTGGATACTGATGACCCAGAGGATCGTGGCGAACCAGGTCTGAATGTTTGGTGGGCCAGATCCAGCCCACGGGTCCTGTTCTAACCCAATCTTCTGACCAACAAGAATCAAATATATACAGGAAAGAGAGGCATTAATACAGTTTTAAAATGTCAAAAACATCATCTTTCTGCTCCTACTCAAGACTGCCCTGTTTACGGATCCCAAGATCACATTCAATTTTTTGGCCACAGAATCATAGTAGGAGATCAGGTTCAGCTGATTAACATGACCCCATATCTTTTTCAGAGTTGCTGTTTCCCAGGGCAGAGTCCTCCCATCCTGCAGGGATAGCTTACAATCACTGCATTCCCAAATGTACTAATTTACATTTAGCTGTATTAAAAACACATATTCTTTGCTTGTGCCCAGTTTATAAAAAAAAACACACCTAGATTGTGTTGAATAAGTAAACTTTCCTCATTATTTAATATTATTTTCCATTTTGGGTCACCTGCAAACTTTATCAGTGATGATTTTATGTTTGCTTGCAGGTCATTGATAAGGCTGCAAATTAGCATAAAGCCAAGTACCAATCCCTGCTAGATCCAGTTGGAAACAGACTCACTCAGTGATGATTGCCTGTTTAGTTACATTTTCAGATGCATCAGTTAGCCACTTTTTAACCCATTTAATGTGTGGCACATTAAAAAAACTAGAACGATATAAACATAATTAAAATGTCTTGTTGTATCAAGTCAAATGCCTTCGATAAGTCTATTACATCAACATTCTTAACTTTATCAACCAAATGTAACCACATAAAAAAAACCAAATGAATAGACCAATACTATTGTTCGGATTATACTTTGTTCCACATATACTTTTAAAAACCTTATTTTCCTTAACTCTGTTTGCCAGCGTGTCCCTTGGTTTCCCTCATTAATTTCATACCACTTTCAGTTTTTCCTCATTACTATCAACTTCACCTTTCTTCCATTTTTACATGTAGTTTTTGTGTTTTTACAGCTGTCTTGATTACTCCTCTAAAGAGTTTTTTTAATTAACAACAACAACAACAAACAAACAAACAAAAAAATCCCAAACGACAAAAACCAACCAACCAACCAACCACAGCCTTTTTCCTCAAATGTGACTTTTGGGAAAACTTATAAACAATATCCCATCTAATCTTTTCCATCCATATGCAGAATACATTTTTATGTGTACTAAGGCATGTGTAAATGTGCACCACCAAGACAAATACAAAACCTAGCTGTGGGTGCTCTGCTAATTAGCTGGATAGCATTTGAATTTCTCTGTTTATACTGGGTTCTTAAATGGTTCCCAGTCATTATTCACATAATGCTTACTTAGCAGAGGAGGGGGGGAGGGACACCTGCAGGGAACGGCAATAAGCAAATCTAAAAGTGTAACCTTAACCCAGGTCTGCCTTGCTTTGTATAAAAGCAGTGGTGCAAAGCAGCCTAAGCTAGTTAACCCAGCCACTGGAGCTTGGAATCAGTACAGATAGGCATCCAGAACTGCAGATGCTTAATTGAATTATCCTAAATTTCTGTCTGAAAAAGACAAGCTCAAAATCTCATATCAATAGTTCTCTCATAAGATTTCCATCTCTTTCAGCCACAGGTAGAAATGCCATGAGAATAACTTCATTTTCAGTAGGTCAGGATTTCTGGTTCCAGCCTCAGGCAAAAATGCAAAAAATCTTATAACATTTCAGGACCCTAAAAAGAAAACTAACAAGCAAACAAAATGTCTGGTCCTAGATATGGATGCAACCTTAAGGGACTCTGGGCTTTTATTTGTATCTGCACCAGTTCTCTTCTAGTTAGTCAAATATCTATAGTTCAAGGCCAGAGTTTGGACCCTGTCTAGTTCCCTTCTTTATAATACAATTTACCCAAATGTAGGGAAGTTAATTTATCAGCATAGGATTCAATCCTGTTCTCAGGTATCCCTGTACACATCCCACAGAAGTCAATAACAATTGTGTGGCTGCGTCTAGACTGGCAAGTTTTTCCGCAAAAGCAATTGCTTTTGTGGAAAAACTTGCCAGCTGTCTACACTGGCCGCTTGAATTTCCACAAGAACACTGACTTCCTACTGTCTGAAATCAGTGCTTCTTGCGGAAATGCTATGCTGCTCCCGTTCGGGCAAAAGCCCTCTTGCGCAAATGCTTTTGTGCAAGAGGGCCAGTGTAGACAACGTAGTATTGTTTTGCGCAAAAAAGCCACAATTGCGAAAATGGCCATCGGGGCTTTCTTGCGCAAAACCGCATCTAGATGTGTCAACAGGAGAGGTTCTTCCACCATGTCCATGTGACTTAAGTTGCTCTGGAGATGACTTATTCACACACATTATGCAGACATACAGGCTGTGTCTAGACTGACCAGTTTTTCTAGAAAATCAGCCGCTTTTCCGGAAAAACTGGCCAGCTGTCTACACTGGCCGCTTGAATTTCCGCAAGAACACTGACTTCCTACTGTCTGAAATCAGTGCTGCTTGCGGAAATGCTATGCTGCTCCCATTCGAGCAAAAGCCCTCTTGCGCAAATGCTTTTGTGCAAGAGAGCCAGTGTAGACAACGCAGTATTGTTTTGCGCAAAATAGCCCCAATCGCGAAAATGGAGATCGGGGCTTTCTTGCGCAAAACTGCGTCTAGATTGGCACAGACGCTTTTCCGCAAAAAGTGCTTTTGCGGAAACGTGTCCATGCCAATCTAGACGCTCTTTTCCGCAAATGCTTTTAACGGAAATCTTTTCCATTAAAAGCATTTGCAGAAAATCATGCCAGTCTAGACGTAGCCTGTGTGTGTCTGAGGAACAGGTATGTGGGCTTTGCATAGTACTTAAAGTATGAAGTACTGAAGTATAAAACAAATCTTTGCATTTAATAAAGCAGAATATACTCACTGGAGGCCCAACTAATCCTTTAATTCCAGTAAAGTTAGAAACTCCGTCCGTATCATTGAGCAGTAGCTAAAAAAATAAGGACAAAGAACAGGGTATAAATTGGTTCTCTAGGGTAGACATTTCTAGAAATGCACAGAAAGCCTACAGCATCCTATCACAACAATGGAGAGAGAAAACACAAAGCAGGCAATTGGGAACAGTCTATGCCTTTTCCTTTTGTGTCATGAATTTTGAATACTACTACTTTGCATTTTTATCACACCTTACATGTATAAGGATGCTTTATAAATATTAAAGAAGTGAGTACCTGTATGCCTGTGAGGTAGGAATCTCTACATCACAGATGAGGAAACAGACTCAGAGGGGTTGTGATCTGAGGTCATCCATGATTACCCTGTCAAGTTACTGCACAGTAAATCAGCTTCCGGCACTATAGCTCTCGAGGTGTCCACACTAGCAAGGCACTCCTGACAACTGTGCAGTTGTTGTGCTCTAAGTAAACTACCTCAACAAGAGACATAGAGCATGCTGCGCTCCAGATACAGTGCTTGGGGGGCACTGTGGACACTTAAATTGTTTGTTGCATTCTGACTGGCCTCTGGAAATGGCCCATACTCCCTTAAGTCCACTTTGGTCTTTGTTTTGAACTCGGCTGTCTGCTTCACAGGCATGTGCATATCTCTTCAGACAGCCTGCTTGCTGTTCTGATTTGCTCAGGGATACAGAGCAAACCATTCTCATGAAATGTTCCTGCTGTTGAGCACAGAGGCAGGAGTCTGTGTGAGTGTGAGAGTGAAAGACATTGCAGTGCAAAGAGTGAGGAGGGAGGTGGGCAAGCGGGGCTTGAGATCTCGGGTTTTTCCTCTTCGTCTGGTGCAGGAGGAATTGTTTCCTGCCACTCTCTGAACTTACACGACAGTATGCTGACATCCCCCAAAACACATGGTCTTCCCCCAACCCTACATACATACACACACAGTCACACTCTCCCCACTCTCCCTTCTTCTCCTGGACTTCTGTTGAAAAGCAGCTGTCAGTGTAGTAGGGTGACCATGGGGCAATGGGTCTGGGAAACCTGCATCATGTGATGGTGACTGCCCCATGGCATGGGCAGTCAGCAATGTAGGCAAGGGGAGGCACAACCTTACCAAAACTGCCTATACGCCTGACCGCCTAAGGCTGGGGGCGCCCACTCCAGACAAGGGAAATTCCCTACTGAGTTTAATGGGAGCAAAATCAGCCCCTAGTTTCTATCCTCCCGCTCTAGTCTGCATGTGGTCATCCACACAGTGGAGAAACTGAGAGCCCCATTAATGTGCTAAAGCAATTCACATCCTGTGTGACACCAGCACTTGAATTCCATACTGCCACCCTTTGTCATATCAGCTACAGGCAGTGTTTTGAAAATTGCTGTTTCAAAGAGGGGGTGTCAGACAAGGAACAGCAGAAGAAAAATCCTTTTTGATCATCATCTCAGTGGACTTTGTGTAACCTCTGAGCATACAATACATACAATGAATTGGACACACTTCAGATTTACTTCCTTCTAGGTGTGGTGCAGCCTCCTAAATGTTTTTGTTTTTTTGATGGATGCTGTTACCTGCCTCCTTTTTCTTCATATTCACAATATTTCCAAACATGGGTTCCAAATAGTAGGAGTTGAAATTTGTATTTAAGCTGAAAACCTATCTCTGCCCCTCCAGAGAGCAGCACCAGATGCCTGTGCAGGCTTGCTATGGCCTAGCTCCCAGTGTTGCCAAATCACATTGGTTCCTCTGCATTCCAGGCCCTCTGTGTCCCCAGAGAGGGGGCAAGATGTGTGCTAATTACTTCAATTACAGTAATAAAAGCATTCTGCTGATGCAATTGTTCCACCATATCTTTAGTTGGTGGCAGAATTCCAGGAGCCCTGAGGTTACTCAAGCCTTTGGAATTACTCAGTATTTAACCATTTGCTTCCATTTTAATCTAGAGACTATTGAAATCAATGGATTTTAAGTGCATTATGTGTGGAGCTTTTAGCTTTTCATCCCGTGGGACATTAAAATACTAGAGGCAGAATTACTTAAAAACCACTTAATGTAAATATAACGTAAATTTGCATTGTATTTGCTGGATCAGACCTCTTTCTACAAAATGACCAAAATGTAAACATTTACAGAGTAGAATATCCTAAATGATTTATTTCATCATATTTTAGCATTTCATATCAGCAAATGACAACAAACTGGAGCAAAAAACCCTTTTGCTTTGGCCTTTGGATTGCCAGTGTGTACAAATCAGGAGGAATTCAGATGAAATCTGAACAACTGAGACTCTCGTTGGGAGATTATTATTAATAATGTCTGTTGCAGTAGCTCACCTGGACTTCAATCACAACTATTTGAGGCCCCATTGTGCTGGGCACTACATAACTACACACATAGGCCCTTCCCTAAACTGACTGTAATCTAAGGCACCTGGTGCTGCAACTGACAGATTGCAGAGACTGAGATGCATGAGGCTTGTATATTATCAATCTCAAGACCAGAGCCCAATTTCCTTCACCTTGTGTCTATCAGGGATCTCTATCTGCTACACAAATAATAAAGTGTAAAATACAGGAAAAGAACACTGCTGTGAAGTTTCACCTTTGCATTTGCTCTAGCACTCAGTTTTAAATTGCCAAATGGATTGAAAAAAACCCAGCATGGTGCTGGCTTGTCTACTTACATTAGTTCTGCTCTGTGCCCAGTGTTACTGATTCTTCAAGAGGCTGAAATAGCTGTTCTTACCTAGATACTGTCATGCTGTACTCTCTAGCTAAGAAAACATCTAGGGAGCGAAGTTAATATGTCGTATACAAATACACCTGCTTTTATGGGACCAAGCATCACCTGGTCTCTCTCCTACATCACCTTATATAATCAACCTCCAAACTCACTGTTGATTCATTGCCTCAAAAAAAAAATCATCCAACTAATAGTGCATTGGTTGAGAGATAAATGGAGAGAGACAGCATGTATTTTGTCTACAGGCAGTCCCCGGGTTACGTACAAGATAGGGACTGTAGGTTTGTTCTTAAGTTGAATTTGTATGTAAGTCGGAACTGGTACATATTGTAGGGGAAACTCTAGCCAAACATTTCTCCAGAGCTCAGTTTTATTCTCCCACACCTCACTTCCCTCAGGCTTTATTCTCAAGCTGAGGTGTCTGCTGAGAAAAGCCGCTCCACCTCTCCCTGGTCTGCTGGGCGGGGGGAGGGGGACGCGCTAGCTTCGCATCTCCCTAGTCTGCTGGGGGGAAGTAGCTAGTGCGGGGGTGCCTCACCCCGGTTGTAGTCGGATCCATGTAACCCGGGGACTGCCTGTATTTATAATTATAGTTTGTTGCATATGCATATAGAGTTGAATACATTTATTTGTAACCCTTTCCCTCACTTCATATGTCATCTATCATCCTAGATTACAAGGTGGGCATAATTATCCATGGGGGCGGGACATGATTATCGAAAGTAGGCATGGAAATGTTAAATTTCTTGCCTAAGGTCACCAGGAAGCACTGTGGCAGAGTTAGGAAGAGACCTTACATCTCTTGAATGTCACACCAGGGCCTATCCATTAGGTTATTCTTTCATCTGAAGTCTATTAAAAACTGCCAGAAATTAAAGTAGAAACTGGATGAAATACACAGCATTCATCCAAGGTTTTTGAGCCACTTTCAAGGTAACATCTCCTTTCTTGTCCTACAAAGAAGCCACTCAGATTCCTTTGGGGCTGTGGTTGCCTATATTAGTGTGTGTTTGAGAAACTTACATAGCTCTCCTGAGTGAACATGTTTCCTGGAGTCATTCACAGCTTCTCCAGTCCCCAATGTCGTACCAAACTGAGTAGACAGACTTTTGTAGTCATTTTAAAATTTAATTCATTCAAACCTCTAGGTTCCTTGATTTCTTTTAGTATTACCTATAATCTAAAAGCCTTAAATACACAAAGCAACACCCCATTGAAAATGTGTGCGTTATGAAAGGACGTGCGACTCTCTGTACCACCTTTGACACTTCTAGCATCTCTACACTAGCAAATTATTTCAAAATAAGTAAAATCGACCTCATAACTCTGGACTTAACAACATCAAAATAGAGTATCCTGACTATGGGGAAGCATCAAAATTAGTCAGAATGATTTCAAAATAGCACACCCACATGGACTGGAGCCTGCCTCAGACTTTGAGTCCCCAGAAACACTCTGGGGAGGGCACCAGGGGGGTGGACACTTCCTGTGGCTGCTTGGTCAGGCAAGCTGCGATGCGTGCTTTCAGGGGCTTATAGCCACATCTCCTACGCCACTCCTCCATTGCCTACCCCCTCATGGGACCCAAAACAGACCCAATGTGCTCTGGTTGCCTTTGGAGATGCCACAGCGCTCACACCATGGGCCGGAGCTGCTGCAAAGCAGTGCCAGGCTCACGAGCCTTGTGCTGCACCTCATGGTGCAGTACTTCCACACCACCCACATGCTTCTCCAACAGGATGAGGTCTAGCCCCAACCAGAGGACCCCTTCTCCCAGGTCCTGGTGCTCCTGCTGAGGTGCATGCCCCTTGATCTCCTGGACACTGCAGAATGCTGCTTCTGGCCACAAGAGGCCAGTTCTGGCTGGTGGGAACGCATCATCCTGCAGCTATGGGATGACCAGCAGTGGCTGCAGCATGTCCACATGTGGAAGGCTACATTCCTCAAGCTCTGTGAGTTTGAGACACCCATCCGCATGCAGAAGTATGTCACCAATGCCTGTGGAAGCTCGCCATGCTGGACAGCTTCCGCTCAGTTGGGAACCAGTTTGGCATGGGGAAATCCAGAGTCAGGGCCATGCTCCTGCAGGTAGACAAAGCCATCAACCACGTGCTGCTACAGAGAGTTATCAGTCTGGGAAACGTGGACATCATAGTCAATGGCTTTTCTGCGAGGGGCTTCCTCAACTGCAGGGGGCAGGACGTAGACAGCACGCATGTCCCCATCCTGGCTCCCAACCACTGTGCCTCAGACTACATAAACAGGAAGAGATATTTCTCCTTGGTGCTGCAGGCCCTCGTGGATCAGAAAGGGCGCTTCACTGGCATCAGTGTTGACTGGTTGGGGAAGGTTGACTGATGCAGGCATGACGCCCGCATCTTCCAGAACTCCTGCCTGTTCCAAAAGATGCACGCCAGCACTTTTCCCCCAGACCTGCACCATCAGAGTCGGGGAGGTGGACATGCCCATTGTCACCTTGGGCAATGCAGCCTAATTCTTGCTCCCCTGGCTCATGAAGCCCTACACGGGCAGCCTGGACCCTGCAAAGGAGCACTTCAACATCTGGCTGAGCAGTTGCCGCACAGTGGTGGAGTGTGCATTCAGCCATTTAAAGGGGAGGTTCTGGAGTCTCCTCACCTGTCTGGACCTCAGTGAGAAGAACATCTCCTTCATGGCGGCAGCCTGCTGTGTGCTCCACAACCTGTGTGAGAGCAAGAGGGAGACTTTTCTGCCAGGGTGGGAGGCTAGAGGCTGGATGGCTGGGCAGGAGCAGCCGGAAACCAGCACCATACAGAGAACACATCAAGGGGCTGTGTTCATCAGGGGGGCCTTGAGGGAGAGTTTCATCCAAGGCCAGCTGTGAGACTCTCCCCCATTCCTCTCCACAAGGGGTCCCTGCATTCCCTCTGTGTGCCTTTCTTCCCCCACCCCTCCCTTCCCCTGTCTTCCCAACCCACCTTCCTCACTACCCTGCAGATTAAATACTAAACACATATTTTTGAAAAAAAACCAGGACTGTTTATTGGGGGATGGAAGGACTAGGGCAAGAATGTCTTTCCTCCCCCACCCCTCCCTTCCTCCCACCTCTGTAGAGCAAATAATAAATCCTTCT